TTCTGCTGCTACTCTTGCTACTCCTACCACTACCACTACCTCCACCACGACTACTCCCGCGACCACTACTACCACTACCACTACCACTACCACTACTACTACTACTACTACTACTACTCCTCCTCCTCGTCCTGCTCCTGCCCCTGCCCCTGCCCCTGCTCCTGCTCCTGCTCCTGCTCCTGATTCTCCACCAGATCAGTTCCTGGCAAGGAAGTATGGCTGCGATGCCCATCACCATGCTCGTCGAGTCTCCTCATGGTCTCCGCGGCGACGACGTGCAGTGGCTGACACTTTCGAAGTCGGCTCAGCTGCCTGGGTTGTGAGTTAACGTGTTTTTGGGGGTTTGTGGTAACAGTTCTTGGCTTTCCGATGTGCTGCTGCTCCATGGACCAAGGTTTCGGCACATCCTGTTAACAAAAGACTAATGCAAGCCGTTTGCGAAACGCCTCTTCGGCGTTCAGCTACTCGGCCAGCTATTGGGCCTCGAAGCTGCTTTAGGATGCATTGTCATGACAGACTCAGGTCCTGGACAACGAAAAACTGCTTTTGCCTTTTGAACGGCTGGACGACGATCTCGAAAGTACATGTACGGAGTCTTCACAGGCAGACAGGGGGATCCTTGTGATGCGCAGCCTGCATCAGTTCAAAGCAACTGAGCAAGGTAAGCTCTACCACTACGCGCGGCAGCGTAAAAAAGCGAGCTTCCTGGCGGCACTGTTTTCTAGGAAGGCCCGCGCCGTGTTTTTCAATAGCATCCGGACTCAGAGGTACAGTTCTCGGAGAAGCCAGAAATTTACTATGTGTCTGTGGATTGTGACACCGACCTGCTGCTGCTGAAGCCGAAGTGTGGACGCCGTTCAAGGTCGCAGGAGGATCGCTCTCGCAGGCACATCAAGAAGATGGCGCAGAACCACGAACACATCGTCGCATCTGTCATGGAGGCTTCTCAGCAGCTGAAGGAGTGCCTTCGAGGTGTGGAAAAGATGATCAAAGGATGAAGGCTTCAGCTGCACGACAGGCTCTGGCTTGCTGCCATGTGGTTCAGGTCGTGAAATCCTGCCAAACGGCTTGGAATTAAAATAATCGGGAGTCGCATAGCGTCCCTTGCACTGGCCGTGAGAACGGTTTGATATATTTGATACCATTCCGGCGCGATCTTCCACACGACCCAATGGGCTGAGTCACTTAGACGCGGCTGTTTGGGTTTGTGTCGCGCAGTGCGGCCATCAAGAATTCGTGTTGTGGTCATTTTCCATCTTGCCACATGTTCTTGATAAATTCGAGGATGCATATGCGGCTTCAGTCAGCGACGTGTAGGAGTGTGTGTGTATGTGTGTGGGTCTGGCGCGAAATGCTAGCGTCTCAGACTCGGACCCAATAACAGAGAACAGGTGTGGCGGTTCTCCCGCACCTGACAGAAGTTTTATCATACAGTGGAGTAATATACAATTTTTTCATTCTTGTTTGCAAAGCTTGCTAGAGTCGACTCTGCTCTTAGGGCAGAGTTCACTCAGGCAACAGTGATTCAGCAGAGAGCTTCAAGGGCTCGCGACATGTAACAATGGAATGGAAAAGGCATGCAAGGTACAAGCACCCAGCAGATGAGGTGGAGTCAGGAGATGAGGTGCGTTCCCTGCAAAGAGGAGTTCGAGAAGTATGCCGCTTCCGGCTTCGGTACGCTTCACCTCGGGAACTCTGTGGAGGATCCGGAGGCCCCTTGAAAAGCCTTGCGCCGGAGCGGCTGACGCCTTTAATCGATGGCTTGGCAGACTGCCCTGCTAGGCACTGCTGGCAGATCACGTCCTTGCCTCAGAGTAATCACAAACGATTCCAGTTCCATCCTTTGCTCTGCCCGAACAGGATGTGGTGATTGTCGCGACTGGCCGCAGCTGGCCGGGGGAGGAGTGGCGGCGAGGTAGTGGCGTCCAAGGATTGGGTCTCGGTCAGAGTCAAGGCACACAGTTTTGTTGCAGGCCGTGGTTTTCAACTCACTGTCGGTGAGCAAGACGAGGCTGGGCCTCAGTTTGCGTTTTGAACAATCTGCTGTTGCTTGTTTTGGCTCTGCTGCTTGCTACACACCTGTTTCGTCTGGCCTTAAAGCTCAAAATGATGCCAATAGGGAAGGCACCGTGGCTGCTGCAGTTTCACAGCCATGGCCTGCTTCGCGGGGGTTTGTGGGGCTGGGACAACACGACCTCAGAAATTCCGGGGCAGACTCGACCTTGATCGGGAAATGGAGGTGGCTTGTCTGCTGAAACATGTCTGTCTCATCATCTACACGCATGGAGTGCTGTTTAAGGCAAGCATCTCCAACTTGCTACTGGTGCCTCCCATTTGTACGGCGACGCTCTACTGCAGCGCTGAAACCCCGATCGGCTATCTCCGAGACCGAGTGCCTGGGGTCAATGCTAGTTGGGTGTGGTTGCCTGCATATCGTAAATCACAGTGACCAGTAGGTTGCAGAGATCGTGACTGCAAATACCTGGCTTTCTGGACGCCTTTGCCAAGAGGGCCGTGGTTGCCGCTCGCCTTCGTGGTTTTAAGCTGTGAGAACGCAGGGGACGCCCAGTCGATGAGGTCCCTTTCTTGCATTGCCGCAAGCCCCGGCTCCAGCTCCAGGGCACTTCTTGGAGTCCAAGCTGAGTTTGCCAAGTTCTCCCTAAACCCTAAACCTTAAACCCTAAACCTTAAACCCGGGGAAACGGGAAAGCCACGTGTCCAAACCCAGGAGTGCCGAAGTGCGCTGCCCATCACGGAGAGCTTAGCCTGCTCGGATCTCCTGTGCCACGTTCAGAAGATCCCTGGGGCCAGCATCGGCTGTGGACTTGCAGCTATCAATCGCGATGAGGTTCTCTTCAAAGTTGCAGTCGTTCACACTGAAGATCCTGAGTATTTCATCCTCGTTGTTTCGTTGAACCACACCATCGGCGACTTGCCGGCATTGAAGCAGAGAGGGGGAGACAGCCAAGAAAACAGCAGCAGGAGAGAAGCCATGAACGCCAGAAGAAAGAGCCGACCGAGAAGAGGGAGCAGATTTCTCACACCTCCCTGAAGGCATGCATGCCGGATGTATCCATGCGGTGGCCAGGGTCCACGCAACACGTAAGAAGGAAGGCAGCAGAGTTAGCTACAGGAGCTCGGGTCATGGCTGGTTACACTGTTACCCAAACCTGCCTTAAGTACCTGAAGGTCTTGGCAGAACAGGAGAGATGAGGAACTGGAGGCCCGCTCTGCGCGAAGTCCGGGCACTGTAGGGACTGCCGAGACGGCAGGGAGAGTGGAAAAAACAGGGGCTGAACAGGGAGTGAGTTCGAGTGCGGGGTATGCGGGGGTGCAGTGTTAGGACACACCGTCTTCGTTCACCGAGCAGCCCAGGCGACGGATTCACGTTCTATAGGCTCTATGCCATGCTGGATCCCGAGGCCTCTTTTGAACGTTGCCCTTTGGAGCCCCTACGGTTGATGATATAAATCCTGCAGTAACTTAAGGGGACCCTATGTTATGGGAATTATGGTATATTCCCTCTTCTGGGTAATGCAGGATTTACATCATCAACCCTAGTTCACGGTGGTTGCTAGTTGTTGTGAGGTGCCGGTGATCAGCATGAGCCCACTTCGCCGCCCTGGATTTGCAGATGATGCCATGAAAGCATGTGGAAAGCATCAATTTGCCTAGCCCTCAGAAGCACGGGATCAACTTAAACCACCGTGGACTGTGGGCTGTAGGATCTTTGTCAGCATCCTGCTATGTTTCGATCCAAGAACTGGCTAACACGATGCCCGACGCTTTTGGGCTTGCTTCGCAGCTTCTGCTTATGGTATCCATCTCAGCCGCAAGTGCGTCTTGTAGATCAAGCCGGTGTATCAAGCAACAAGACAGAGAGTCCAACGGTCTCGGCAAATGACGTCTTGACTTCCCACCTGCTGATGTTGTCCGGATTTGGTTTTGGGTACATGTCAATCAATCTTCGTGACCGTGGCCTGGGCGTTACCAGCCTCAATGCCGGCAACTACGTGCACAGAGTACACCTCCGACCGGACGACTTCGCCGAGCCTGCACAGGTTAGGAAGGCGCTGTCCCGGTATTTCACTGGGGGATGCGATCAGGTTCCTGACTGCTGGAGCTCCATGGTGAGCCGGCATGGGCTGGTGTCGAACTGGGCGGGCCTCCACCATGAGGTCATGCTCCCAAGCTCTACTCCAACTGTCCATCTCCCTGTCATCGCGCATCCGCAGCCGGGATTCGGCTTCTTCATTATCTTCAGGCCAAGGAAGAATGCGCCGCTCGGAACGAAAGTGGGACTGAACATCTGCGCTTTCGAGAGGAGCTGTGAGAGAGTTTCTGTTCTTCGCTTTGCTATTCGCTTTGGACATGTCAACTTAGCTTCCGAGGCTTGCGGTGTACTATTCGCTTCGCAGCAGAGCCGCTATGGACGAATTGTTGAGATCACCACTTCTGACCTCACCCGTCATTCCTCGGACATTGCCTGACTCGGAAACCGAAACGGGGTCCATGCACAGGAAATCGAAAAGGTATCTGTGTGCGCGCACGTGCATTTTCTTGGTTCAATCTCGGACAATCTCGTCGTGGGGGACCCCCCCTCAGTTGTGACGACAGCTTGAAGTCGGCCCTGGGCCTTTGCTGCAGGCGCTCATTCTGAAGTTCGTCCTTCAGCCCGCCACAGACCTCGCGAAGACGCTGCAAGAGGTGCTGAGCTCGGCATGAGTCGACAACATGGCGGCAGCTGCAGCCTGTGTGGGCCGTTTTGCCAGGTACGAAGTGCCGTGGGCCGTTTTGAAGCTCCGGACCTTCCGATGTACATTCTCCGGCCCGGGACGAGTGAGGAGCAGGTCTGGCGGCGTGGGTAGCGTGCCGTCTCTGTTGACGTCACGCCTTTTCCATGGTTTTTTGCTGCTGCAGGGATGGCTATGGGTGTTGGGACTGAGTCCCCACATTCTTCGTGCGGAGCCGGGACGAACGTCGTCAAGACCTGAGCTGGATTATTCTCATTGTCAGGTCATCTTCGTGGAATCCTGTTGCAAGCATCACAGGAGGACCTGTGCAGCAGAGAACGGTTTCTCCTCAGTTGATTGCTTGCCTCGTGTGATCGCGCAAAGTCTGGAGACTCAAGACTGTTGCAGGATGCCACTGCGTCTGGAGCCTCGCAAGGCCTTAGGAGGCACGTACTCGTATGTGGTTCTCGGACACCGCAAGTGACAGGCCTGAAGCTGGCCTCCTTCCTTCAGGTGTTGACCTGCCGCTTCCTCAGACCGAGACTGGAAATCCAAGATCGCACATGCTCAGAAAAAGGTATGCCTCGTCGGAAGAGCAAGCCGGGGCCTCGAGGATAAGGCCTCGGAGGGAAGGGAGAGATCGCGGCTCGGCAGTTATAGCAAGGCTGCTCACCGCCCTGCGGGCTGCTTTCACCTATCTGGACAAGCAGCTCAGGCTCCACCTGCTTTCCGCCTTCCTCTGCTGCCCGGTAAAAGCCTCGGGAGGCCTTGCGAGGTTGCTCCGCGCCTCACCCTGGCGCAGCTCGGCCTGAAGACCCCAGCCACTCTCCTCCCATGCGATGTCACGTCTGACATCTGCAGTGACGCGAAGCAAGACTGGTTGCAACCAGGTCGTACTGGCACTCGAACGAGGCGCACTGCGGAACCTCTCTGCACAAAAGCAAAAAAAGGCTGCAAAGCCTTTTTCTTGGCCCAGGTGGTCCGGCGCACGCAGTGCGGCAGCCGATCAGGCGGGCCATGGGACTGTGCAGACTCTTAGTCTATGTAGATGTGTTAGAAGTGTTAGGTGTAGACGACAGACATCAAAGCTTACCATCAGTTTTTGAATCCGGTTGGTGTTGCACTGTCAGTGTGAGATCGGTGCTAAGCTTTCAAGCCGCAAGCCTCTGCACCTACGATTCGTCTTCGGACTTTCTTCTCTCCCCTCCATCGACGATATCGACACCTCGTGCTCGCATCCTGCAGGCTGGATTGTTTTGGTGGGAGATGCGGCATGTGGAAAGCCCTTTTACTTTGGGTCCAACTTGCGGCTATGTTGCACTGGACTTCTGCGGCCTTTCCCGCCTTTTTCACCTACCTACACCCATCAGGAACGGCCATTTTCAAGATGCCATGGCCCTGCTGCCTGGCGCCAGGTTTGCTTTTGATTCGATGAGTGTGTTTGTTTCTGTTGCTGGCTTGAACGGTACTCCTCAGGTCTGTTCCCTGGTCACAATTGCCAAGTCAAGGTCTCGTCCCTGTGACGCTTATCTCTAGGCTAATGCACCGGCAGCCGTGCTCTCCGATCAGGTGAGCCTGGACCGCAGGCACGCGCAGAGGAAGAGCCTTTCAAGCTGAGTGCTCGGATCAACCCATTCTCTGCGGAGCTCGGGGCTGTGTAGACAGAATCGTGAGGCGGTATGCTGCCGAATATCGCCGGCGCATCGCTGAAAGCAGAGGCTTCTGTCTTAGTGTTCAAGTTCCTTGCTGTTGGTGTCTCTTCACACTTCCGACTTCACGTCTCCTGCCTCCCGCCGAGGCTTTCACACCTCTAAAACATCTGCCAGTGCAAAGATCACTGTGTGAAGACACGCGAAGCCCATCTCCTCTCGTGTACATAGATTTCGCTGCCTCCAAGCCCAATGGCTGAACTGGAGCCGACAGCAGCGATGCCAACACCTCGTAGACTCAGGCAGCTGGGTAGCTCTGGGTACTATCATGTTTCTGGATCAGCTATATAATATAATTTAATATATAACATAATATAATACAATATATTATATATTATATAATATATGATATATGATATATAATATATAATATATAATATATAATATATAATATATAATATATAATGTATAACATATATTAGCCCCGGAAGCAATTGACTCTAGCTGGCCTGATTTCCGCACTCTCCCACGTTTGTGGCAGCTCAGACTCCACGTGGGTAGTTCTCTAAACTATAGGGTCCCTTTTGAGGTCCCCAAAATAGCACGGCACCCTAATAACAAGGATGCTACATGGGGACCCTAATTTACAGCAGAACTACCCACCTGCATTTTAGGTCCCGGATGCAAACTCAGTTCATCCGTGCTCCTCTAGGATGGCTGATCACGGTGAATGCAATAGCACCCTCAGCATTTTTTGAGGCAAGGACCACAAGCAGGTTGTAAGAGGCTGAGCGACACATTCCCATTGATCAGTCTTGAGATCGCATGAGATCGCCATTGCTTTGGATCTAGTTTTCGTCCCCTCAAGCGCTCTTCAAGAGAGTCCGAGTCATCTTTCGGCAGCATGCTGCGGGAAGAAGGAGGATAGGCCCATCCGTTCGGGTGTCCGTTGCTGCAGTGCAGCTTGGTGCAGCTTGGTGTTGCTGGGTACTGCCCAACTGCCGAGGGAGACTGGGCAGAGTCCGGTGCACTTCGACCTGGCACCTGAAAGCCAGCTTGAGGCACGGCCTAAACGTCACACAGACGCGGAACAGCCTTGTTTTTTCTTTCTTCTGTCGCTGGAAGGCGCCCGCAGCTCCACAGCAAACTCTTGCCAAAGAGGAGCAGGAAGAGAGGCTAGGTTGAGTCTTTGCCCATGCCACGTGTCTTGCTCGATTCGGCACCTACTCTTTGCGCTGCTTGCGCAGATGGACTGCCTGTGTGACATGCAAGTGTTTCGTATGTCTTCTGCCTCAACAAGTCTGAAAGATCCTCTGATCGGTAGAACATGGTAGAACTACTAAGAGGTTTGGTTGGAACGGCTCAAGACGTGTGTCCTCCGTTGTCAGGCAGCGGGCTGAAAAGGAGGTGAGAGACTTGAAGGCGGGGAGCCTCCAGCGCTGATCAGATCTGATTTTTAGCGAAGCTGCGAAAGAAGCGAGGCCACCATAGCTGAGCTTGAGGAGAGGCTTCAGCAGCAAGATGAGCAGCTGCAGCTGAACCAGACTCGGCAGCAAGAGCTCTCTGATGACCTCGAGGAGGTTGTCTGAAGCTTTTGTAGCATTAACTGGCTGTAACCGGTCCTGGCAGCTCCCTGCAGGCTCGGCGGGCCGTGCAGGAGCACCAGCAAGCAGCGGAGGAGGCGCCTCTTGTGGTGCAAACCCGGTTCCTCCGCTTTGCCTTCTTGCTCTGCCCTTCTTCTGCAGGCGCTGCAGGCCCGGCAGCATATCGAGAAGGTTTGGATCCCAAGCACCGATCCGTAACAGCGGCTTGGGTCCTCGCACAGTCATGCAGCATGCAGCTGAAAAAAGTTCTATGCCCGCAGACAGGAGGTCGCATCCCCACATCCTTCGTCTTCGAGCGTGCAACGCGCTCCGTCTCCAGCGCCTGAGTGCGCGAGTCTCTCTCCTCTGCGAGGAGCCGAGCAGCCAGGGAAGCCAACCACCGAAAGTACCGAAAGCGTTTTCACACATGCTTGTCTAGCTGTTTGTCTAGATCCGTCTTGATCCGGGTCCAGGACTAATCATCCAGTAGTTATTGCCTAGCTAGAGCGACCGGAACAGCCATGATCTAGAAATGAGCCACAATCGCATGCCGACAATGGTGCACAGACGACTTTGCTTTATGTGCTGCTGCTGTGTAATTCCCGAGCATATTCAGGAGACGTGGGCAAGGAGCTTGTGCACACTTGGCGGCACCCTGCCGGCGAAGTTTTCCTTTCAGCTGTCCAGGAGGGGTGCGAGCTGTGCGCTGGATGAAGCTTCAACTGCTGAGCTGCGAATCTCTCCTGAGAGGCATGTTTGCCAACCCTCGCCGCATCACCCGCATCGACGGCATCACGAAGCCCTCCTCCAGGTGCATTCAGCGGCCTGCACTGGAGAAGCAGAAGAAGATTCACCCTGTGCCACTGGTCGAGGCAGACATGCACATCGTGGCATTCTGGCTGTTCCAGAGGAGGCTTACAAGGCGCTCTCGGCTCTCACAAAAAGGCGGACGGAGCTCGGGCTCGGGTTTTTTTGGCGCCGCTAGGCAAACCCCTCCCAGCCTGTGCCTCAGCATGCTCTGCAACTGTTTGGAAGGCCACGTATGCATCACAAGTGCACAAGGCAAGGTGGTATTCCGGCCCACGAAGCCGAGGCGGCTTGCAAGAACATTAAGCAGTCTTTACCGCGCGGGTTTCGCCGTCATCATGCCGAGAGTAGGCAGAGTATTGAGGTTGACTGTGCTGTTACGAGGAGCTCTTCAGTGCGAGATTGAACATGCTGCGATCGTTCAATCGCCACTCTTCACATCAGCCACAAGTTTCAACAAAGAGTGGTGCACATGATTTGCTCTCGGTCACTGGTCGCCTTCTTCGCTGTGCATCTTCCCAAAGCAATTGATACTGACGGTAGTGGCCTTGCCGGGCTCTATGTCTCAGGCGGACGGTATCCTGCCTAGCGGCAAGGACTGCGAATAATCTAACACTGCCAGAGAGGGAGCGTTGTCGTGTAATCCGGACTTGGTGGCAAAATCCACACGCTTGCTTAGTAGAGCGTGCTCAAGTGCTGGCCTGGCCAGCTATCCACCAGCTTGCAGCGCCAGTTGAAAGTATCAGGTCAGCCTTTTGCGAACAAGCCACAGAATCTGGCATGGAGAGACGCTATACCGATGAACAAGTCAAATGGTATGGACGTTACAAGCTTATTAAAGGCCGTGTGATTATGTGTGGTTCTTACTGCTTTGTTTCTCGTAAGACCTTACCGGTTTGGTGGTGTGGGGTTTCCGGCTTGAGATTTACCCCCAGCTCTAGTGTCTAAGTGGCCCTCGTCAACCCTCCCTGCGTCCTCATGTGTCCGTCGTGCGGATGCCTCGCCGGATCTTGGTGCCCCTAGATCTGGCTGAGGCAGAGGGCAATTGCTACTGTACGTCACACCCCATTAAAACGCCAACAGACACTCTACTCAATGATCCCCCAACCCAGCCCAACCCCAGTGCCAGCCCAGCGCCAGCCCAGCCCACCGTCAGCCCCCAGCCCCCAGCCCCAGCCGTCCCAGCCCGCCAACCCGCCAGTACAGCACCACAGCACCAGCACCACTGGACCAAGACCACAGCACCAGCATCAGGACCAGAGCACCAGGACCACAGCACCAGGGCACCAGGGCACCAGAGCACCAGCACCACCACCACCATCATCACCACCACAGCAAATAGATCTCGACGAACATGAAAATTCGGAGCGGCAGGGGGGAGGGTGGAAACCCCAAGAAGCCGGCTCTTTCCTGGTGCACTTCTTGCCAGCCAGGGTGCATCGTGCCAGGTCGGTTGCCAGCACGACGACAGGCTGCTCGCGCTGGAGAAGTGCATGGAGGACATGCGCCGTCGTGCACTCTCCTCTGTTCACCTCAGAGTTTGCACGGCGTATTATTCATCACGTGAGTTTTGACTGAAGTCTTGTAGAGGAAACTCGCCGCCAGCTGGAGGCGATGGCCAAGTCTGTTTTTGCGTTGCCAGGAGTGGGTTCTACGAAGCCCCGACAGGTTTGCTTGGAGACGGCTGCGAGATCTCGCAGTCCAGTGACGAGCCCTGTCCAGGCCAGCGTTTGCCAGCGGAGTCCGAAGATCTCCGAAGGAAGTTTCTCCTCGTGGCAGGTACCCGAAAAGCCCAGGCCTCAGAGTGGTCGGAGTGCTGAGAGGCAGAGGAGGGGCTTTGGGAGAGCATGCCTAGGCCGAGCCCCGTCCGCATCGCTTCCCCCGAGCGCGGACACGCCGAGGCTGGGGCCCTCGTCTGTGGAAAGCTGCACTCAGATCCAGGATCCATGTCCCAACTTGAATTGCTGGGGTTTCAGAGGCTTCCCCTGGACATCCAAGCGTGTCTGAATGCCCGACCGTAGAAGTGCCGGATGCGCACCTCCAGGCGGCCTGCATCTTAGAACTCCAACCGCAGCAGCAGCAGTGAACTGAGCAAAGCTGGCATGCACGGAGCTGTCCGAATGTACCAAGTCTCTTCTCCTTCGGTCGTGCCTGGGCAACACACTGGACCCGCCGGAGTTGCTGCAGAAGGTTGGGGGGCGTCTGTGTGGAAAGTGGTGTTTTGGATGCAAGAGCTCCCTACGAGCATTCTGCCAGGCCCAGGCCATGCTGCGGCTGAAGGCGTGTTTGATCGTGTCCGCTTCTGACAGAATGCATGAGGCAGTTCACGCGGAATTTGCAAGTGGGTGTGAAGTGGTTAAACAATGCCCTCTGCATCATGTGATCAGTTTAGGGGGGGTTTCTGTGGCCTTTTCCTGCAAGCTGCTTGCATGAGCATGAGAAGGGATTGGTTTTTTCCATCATGTCTTTGAAGCAGACACATGCTCGTTTGCGCGAGTCTGTGTAGATCGCAACCGACAGCAACCGTGACACAATTTGCCTTGTAGAATTAATGGTGCGGATGCCTCTTGAACGCGCTATGGCCCATGGCTGCATCAACTTGACCGCTATGGTGGCATGAGTGCTGTTCCCTTAGAGCCCGAGTGATTTGCAAATACCAAAATCCAAAACAGGCTAATTACTTGCCACATCTTGCCACGGTATCGAGGTGATCCAATGGCATCGGCGGGTCCACATTTGGGGTGCCTCGTGCTGCTACATTGTACTTCAGCAGGTTTCTCACCCACTTCGTCTCAGCTAAGATCTTCCAAGGTTTCCTTGCAGTCGCCCGCGCTCAGTCTGTCTATTGCCGCCAGGGACCCGGACCAGAACAGAAAGAGCAACATGCAGACTACAAAAGCAAGATGGCAAGAGATGCAGCCACCTTGACTCGCTTGTGTCTGCCAAGGTGTGGAGCAACTTCGCGATTTGGAAGGCATGTGACGCGCATTTCACCCATGCTTCGCTCGAGACGGCGCTCTTGACCGGAGCGATCGCAGGTGAGATTTCTGGAGTTGGCGAGCCCTTGGGGTCTTCAAGGCCGCTTGCATTGAATAGCTGTGCCGCTAGCCACACAGTGGGATGCATCTGCTTGGAGGGAAAACAGCTGCGCCTGGCACATCTTTCCAAGTTTGAGCTTGCAGGCCAGCTCTCAAGCAAAACAGGAGCAGGTATCCAAAACGATTCGTTGTGCCCGGAAGGCCATCGAGTTTACCCTTCTTGGCGAGGGATCGTTCTCAGGCCAGGGTGCGTTGTGATTTGCTTCGGGTCTCAGTAGTTGGATGGCAGGCTATGACGCTCTTGTCATATATGGGCTTCATCCTCAACACTGGTGCAGTCATATTCTGCGCGCATCCTGTTTGCGTTGGTCGACGTGCTGTCAACATTTGCACCTGATGAGGTCAGGGCAGGTGCAATCCTCCACGAGGGTTGCTACGTTTCATCGTGGCAATCCACTGCCTGCTGCGATGGTGGGCAACCTAGCCGGGCACGCTTCCACGCACACACTCCTTCATTGGATAGTTTTGGCAGCTATCACGGATGGAGGATTTCTTTGCGAAGCAGCACGCAATTTGGGCACGTACCTTTTTTGTCGTATCCCAGGAAAGCAATTGACATCAACCAGCAACGAACCAGACCAGCCTTGGCATCTGTTGGCATCCCACTTCACCCAACTTGTTCCGTGAATGTATCATCTGAGTGCACGCGCCAGACTGTTTGGGAAGAAGGCATGTGTCTGTGCTCCGAGGCGCTTACCGGCACTTCGGAAGCTCTGCTCGTCCTCAGTGCGGTTTCTAACGAGAGCCTTGGATGCACCATCAGCCGATTGCAGCGGGCGAGAGTGGGCAGTTCCAAGCGCTGCTTCCCTGCGTCGTCTTGATTGTCGCAAGGACACGCATTCGGCTGCGGTACTCTTGCAGGACGCTGTGCTGAACCAGATTTTCAAGAAGAGCTTGGAGCGCAGTCCCTGTCAGGCCATACGGTACAAAACTGGGAGACACCTGGTTCTCTCCTGCCAGACTCTGAGCAAAGAGCCAACGAGGGATGCTCTCCTCGCTGTTGTCGGTCGCGACGAGAAGTGATCCTAAGGTCGGCTATGCTTGCGCAAGTGCCTTAGACCACCTTGGGGTCCCGTGCAGATGCAGTAGTTACTAGTTGGATCAGCACGGGAGCAAAGTAGCAGCAGTAGGTTGTGATCTGATGTTGGGCAGGGGTTCAACAGGGAACGAGTCTGGAGTTCGAAGGCTTAAGACTCGCAGAAGCAGGTCGGGTTGCGCACTTCCATTGATTCTGCTCTTCATGGCGTCATCTCGCTGCGTCTTCAAGTTGTCTCCGTTCGAAGAGTTGAAAAGGGCTTCAGTCCTGGATCGAATCCAAGGGCTGTAGAAGTTTCCAACATTCAGCCTGGTTCAGCAAGTTTGCGTAAGGTTCTTGCAGCCTTTATAGTCCTTGGCTTCGCCATATCGCTCATGCCTGTGGTGTCCTCAGCGCGGCATGTGCACATTGACATGTGAGTATTGATTGGAAGGATGCTACATTGCTGTGCTACCAATCATTCCATGCTTGTTCAAGCATGGTAGAGTCTGGTAGAGGATGACCTCACTCAGGTTTACATGGTGTGCTACTGCAAGGCTCGGCGACATCAGGACAGGATGTTCGCTCCCGATGTGTGCAAAAATCGCAACCCTAAATCCTACAACCCCAAACCCTAAACCTTATAAATCCGAAACCCCAAAACCCTAAACTCCCTCAGGACTTGGTCATGCAAGAGTCACAGCTGATGGTTCGCTCCGAGCTCCAGGCGCTGCACCGGAGCTCCAAATTGCATGCAGAGTCTGTCAAGCCTGAGGAAGCGACTTACATTTCCGTCGTAAATGGCAGTTTTTCCTGTTGCTGACACGTGCAGAAATATGAGACTAAACATGATTGGACTCTGATGTTTCTGGCGGACCTGGAATGTGGACCGCAGGCTCGACGGTTCCGGGACAGCGAAGCGGTGGGGGCCCTTACAGAGCCTGTTCCCGGTGAGATCTGATTGTTGAAAGCCTGCGACACATCGAATCTAGGCACAGGCAGAAGAGCGGCAGGTGGTGGCATCGTTGCAGGACCGGAATGCCCCTGGCACACCTGTTTCAAAGCCTCAGCCTCTACATGACAGAATCAACCCAGCCTGCATTCAGAGTAACCCGCAGGCGCTGCCTTTGGAAATGTGGAAGGACAGGGAGTTGGAGGTGCCTCTGCTTGGAATGTTTGTAGCTCACGTGCTTGGGATCCTTTAACCAGATCATCAGGTTGGCAAGCGCTCAAACGACGAGTGCTGCCTCTGTCTGGAGCCATACACGGAGGAGGCCACACTAGGCAACTTGCACCTTCAAGATCTGTCAAATCTACAGCATGCAAAGACAGGATATGCTCAGAGTTCTTCCCTGTCGACATTTCTTTCACCAGGCCCTGACAGCTTCGTGACATCCAGTGTTGAGGTGTTGGCACCAATGTCTGCCATAAGGCCTGTATCGACCATTGGTTTTCTGCCAATCGCTTCATGCCCAGATCCTGTCCGCTCTGTCGAGAACTCAGAGAGACTGAGACGAGATGGTCTCACCGCAGAGTCTCTCCACTTTGCACGGTTGGATCTTCGCTGCTTTTTTGAGCCCAAGCAGCGGCCGAGGCAAAGCGGACCCCACAGCGACACAGCCTCCAAGCGCTTGCACCCCAGACATGACTCTGACAAAGGCGTCTCTCGTGAAATTCTGCCAGTGATCGGATCACAGAGTGCTTGTTTCCTCACAGGGTGCAGAAGAGGCGGCTGCGCAGGACACTGTGCCTCCTGTCCACAGGCGGAAGTTCTTCAAGCTCACTTCCTGCGCACTCCTGCGCTGCCACTTGCATCTTCCATGTAGGTTTAGCGAAGTGCCCAAGAGCAAGAAACGTGGATGTGACTGACATGGCCTCCCGTCTGCCCGTATCCACCGCATGGATTTTCCCTTGATCCTCGCAAGATCTGAATTCTGGGACTGTGCGAAGCGCTCTTTGCGATTCTTCCGGTGTTTACAGAGCTCGCCTGCAATATCGCTCGGATTGCGTTTTGAATCGAGCGCTCGCGGCGAGGACGGGCACGACAGGATCGCACCAAGCCCCGTGACGAGGCAAGAACATGCGAATCAGGGGATGCCGCGATGCATGTTTTGGCGTATACTATTCTAGAACTATATCTCTTCAAGAACTCCCAAAATCGTTTTGGCATCTTGCATTCTCTTTTTTGCTCCAGGCCGGTCCTGGCTCCCGAGTCACCCGCGACTCTCGCTGCTATCGTTGGTCGGGAGCCTGTCTCTGGCTGCCTTCCGCTTGCCTTATATAATCAGATTATAATCAATCTCCGAGGCTTCTAGACTAGGCTTCGCTGAAGCAGTTGGATCGCTTGCATGGTTAGCCAGCTTTGTACTTGGTAACAAGGTCGTCCTCAACCAGCGTGGGAAGAGTGACGACGCTAGTATTTCGTCCAGACGTTGTTGTGTTCTACAGTGAAGCATCTGCACGGTCAGCAACGTTTTCACCTGCGCTGAGATTGGAGTCGGAGGCCCTGCAAGGTCTAGGACCGCAGGTTGCACCTTGCTAGGACAGCTCATGTTGCTTTGGCCTCCACAACGTCCAGCCTCTGCGCATGGTCAATGTTTAATCAGTTAGTCAGCGACCAGCTCCTTGCCAAAGGCATGGGAACGGATCCAACCAGGATAATGCAACAGACACGCGCGCGCGCGCCGCCACGAGCGGCTCTGCTGTGTGAGCCATGGGCACGTGCCCTGCCAAATGCAGCATGCTCCAAAAAAGGAGTGTCGTGGGGGGCCTTTCGACCCCAATGCGCTTAGGACCTAGGCCCTGGCGCCGTTGCCCTCTGCAGGCGGCCGTCGGTGAGATCTACGCAGTGCTCTGCCTTCAAACGAAGGTGCCGGTCCACTTGCAGCACGCTGCAAGCTCTCTGAGTCATCGTCCCCACACTCCCACAGCCACAGAAGTCCAACAAAGAAACGACTGGTCGCAGATCGCAGGCGAAGTCATTCCTGGCCCAGTCCACGGTGGCAGGGCTGGCTCAGAGAAGGCACTCGGTCGCCAGCCGGGAACATCTTCCTGCCACTGCAAGTTAAGTTACCACAGGAGACCACGCCCACAGACAGCAGGCTCAGGCACGACCCAGACGTGCTCAATCATGAGAGCTGTTGTGGGAGGGTGCGAGCGCTTCATTTCAGGTCGATCGACGCAACCACGCGGCGTTCCGTTGGCGCGCTTCCGGGGGGGGGAACGTCTGCCGAAGTTTCCAGCAGTTGTCATGTGTGCCTGCCAGGCGTTCAACCGCTCGCCGCTCCCGCCTTCTTCCGAGGCGGTCCCTTGCGGTGCACAGCCAGCGATACGCGTGAGAGACTTTCTTCCGAGGCACTGCGGCGGCGAGCGACCGTGCAGGCAGAAACGCCATGCACAAGTTGCACAGAAGACATAGTTGCATGCTCCGCGAGAGCACCGGCAGGCCATTCCAGAACGGGGCAGAGGCCTTGTGTGAAGCGAATGCATGATCATGCATGTTTTTTCCGGAGACTGCAGTTTCTCCCGGAAAGCGTATCCGTCTTGTCTGGAGGTGGTGAAGCAGCCACGGGAGTGACAGCCAGGCACATGATCATGACAGCACTGCAGAGGGCTAGTGCAAGCGGCCACATGATGATGCACATCACTGTGATGTGCCCTTCCACTGAGAGTATGTGACGAACAGCACAATCAATTCCTTACTATGTTCTGAGTTGGCCTTGCATGTGCTGCAGAAGTGTCATGCAATGAGTTTCGGTTCTTGGACATTGCCGTTTGCCCAGTTTCCGATTTCAGCCTTCGTTGCTCGCAGGCGACGGTGGAGCTCTTGCCCTCGGCCAGACAGCGTTCCACCCCTCGCGCTGGAGCTCGTGCAGGCACCGCTGATCCACATTTGCAACAGTTGAATAGACCTAATTTATGATGACTCATGGAGCCTCTTTCCCGGATCAGCTTGATCTTGCTTCGGCCAGTTTGGAGAACGAGTTGTTCCGCAAGTTTCTCCATCTCCTCCTGAGGCACATAGGAACACACCGTATCCTAATCCGCTCGAGAAGACACTTGACTGCTTGCTGTGCTGGCTGCAAAAGCTTGCGTGTCTTCGAGCCACCTCCAAGATAAAACACGAGCAATACACAAGCTACCACCGACCCTGCAAAAACACTCCCATGGACAAGACAAGCAAGCGAGACGCGTGAGCCTGAAGTGTTTCGTCTAGTCCTGTTCACGGCGGGAAGTGACTTTCGGAGTTCAAGGTTCCTAGGTCTTGAGCTTTACTCCCAGCCTCCCCCCCTTCCGCCATGCATCCTTGTTGTTGCTGCAAGGAGAGGTTGGTCGGCCACTGGCACATCTTGAGACAGCCAGCGAACACGCTTGGTGTTCAGATGTCAGCTTCACCCGCGCATGGTATCCTACTATGCTGCTCCACGCGATCCAGTTTCTCCGGACAACGTTCAGCGAAACGAAGGCGAAGCAGGGGCTCTTCTAGAGCCCGTGTCGTACTACGCACGGGAGAACCGACGCCGAAATCGATTGCTGCGGGATCAACTTCGTGGCCAGGCAGACCCCAACGGAATCCTAGAGCTTGCCGCCGAGCGTGGTGCATCCTGGGATAGCATTGGGCTATCCACGGCCTTGCATGCTCTTGCCTGGAAGGTGAAGAAGGGCGCTCCGAAGCCCGACCTGAGTGACCGTCGATGGCAGCATCTGCAAGTCCTTGCATACGGCCAACTGGCTGAGGGGGAAGCCCGCAACCTGGCGAACACGGCCTGGTCGATGGCCAACATCTCATCAACGAGTCTTCCTTTCATGACGAAGGTTGCCGAGCTTGCACAGGATCGCGCCGACGAGTTCAAACCCCAGGAGATGTCGAACCTTTTATGGTCTTTTGCCACTGTGAGGTACAAGAATCCTCTCCTCTGCGGCCTGTCGACGACGGTGCAGCGCTTTTCGTCTTTAGCCGAGGCTCAGGCACTGTCGTGTCAGGATGCGGCCAATATGATGTGGGCCTTTGCTTCGCTGATGTTTGGGTTCACGGAAGCCACGGATCTGGTCACGCACATTCACGCCAGAAGCTTCGTCGTTGACTTCAAACCTCAGGAGTGTGCTAACACGCTCTGGGCCATGGCCATTCTTGATATTCATCACCATGACTTGGTCGAGAGCATTGCTTCTCGTGCCTTGGAGATACTTGTTGAGTTCAGGTCTCAGAACATTTCAAACCTCCTATGGGCCTATGCGAAGATCGGGCACAGAAATAACACTGCGACTGAAGCGGTGCTGGAGTTCTCCATGGACAAGTTACATGCTTTCTCTGCACAGGATCCCTGGTTGTCCCAGTAGTCAAATCATGCTGCAGTTCAGAGTTGTAAAGCATGCTCGGCTAACGAAAGATCGGAGAAGAAACACAGGACCTTACAACCATGGTTTGGGCCTGTGCGACTATGGACTACTGCTGCCAGACATTCTGGGAGCTTTGCCGGCCGCGGTTGGAGGCAATTGCACAAGTGTCACCGCTGCGGCCGCAACACCTCTCCAACACTGTCTGGTCCTTGGCCGCTTGGCTGGCGAAATTAACTCAATGGCCCAATCCGATGAAAACCTTGAGACATTCGTGCGATCACCTAAGACCTTATCAATAGCCGAAACTCATCTCTTTTTGGGTCTTTTGGGGTCCACAGTGAAGACGTGTGCGACTTCTCACGTAAGGCGACCCTTCAGCTCCAGGACAAGCCCTGGTTTGACTTCTCCAGCTTGTCCCTTCCATCCCGCATTCAGGAGTTTAAACCGCAGGAGCTGGCGAACTTCATCTGGTCTCAAGCTGTGATTCTCTGTGACAGTCCTGCAGTGGCTTGCATTGTCTTGCGAGCTTCGCAGATACACAGTGAGTTCAGTTGCCAAAGCATGGCAAACTTTACTTGGGCATATGCCAAGCTTGGCTATCAGAGTGAGAGTATGATTGCAATACTTCAGGAGGCTGCTGCAACCAAGATTGACAGAATGTCTGAGCAGGATCTGTCAACGACATTCTGGGCCTTCAGCACTATGCAACACCGAGATGACCTTTTTGTGGAGTCGTTTAAGTCTGCGCTGATGTTGAAGCTGCATGATCGTCCCATCAAGTCGCAGCACGCTTCAAACATCCTCTGGGCGTTGGCTTCCGTTCTTTTCCAGGATGCGCCCTTCTTCCATGCTATCGGGGAAAGTGTGAAGAAGTCCATTTCGACATTTACTCCGCAGGACCTGTCCTGCAGCATATGGGCGCTGGCCACCGTGGTGTATTCTGACCCAAGCCTAACAGATCTCATCGCCTCGGCCGCGCAGAAGCAGATGGACTTCTTTGACCCCCAAAGCCTCGGCCAGAGCGCCTGGGGAGCCGCGTATCTGAAGACCTCCGTCCGCTCCCTCTACGCTGCTCTCGAAAGCAGTATCGACAAGGCCCAGTGTCTCATGACCTACAATGACAAGGTCATAGCTATGCTTGTTCGGGCCTTCTTAACGGCAGGGGAGGTGAGCTGCGCTTGGAAGCTGTTTGACAACATGCGTCGCTTGGGTTTAAATCCGGGAATAACCGCGCTTGGTGCATGGCTGCATCACTGTCGGAACCTGCAGCCATCCACGGAAAGAGAAATGCAAGCGATGGATGTACTTTCGCGGTTTCAGCCGTGCCGATACATCCAACAAGCTATTCTCAACGCATCTGCCTTGCGCTTGGCAGAGGCCGGATGGTGCTCCGAAAGCGAATCGTTGGTTCAAAGCTTGCTCAGCATCGAGGCCAACCCTGTCACCAAGGCCATTAGCACCAAGTTGTCACATGGAGTCTTCGCAAAGGCAAAGAGCATGTTTGGGCAGCTCCACTTGCCTCACTGGACCATGCCAGCCAGAGGGAGTGGACACTCTGGCACAGACTATGACAAGCAATGCAGGTTGCTGCAACATGTGCTCTGCACGGCTCGGGAAGGAGATCCGGTGTCCGTCGTCAACACGATCGAAAACTTCTCGGTTGATGGGAATGGATGGCTAAAAATTGCAGGTGGAGGCAAGGGTGTCGTTCTGGATGATCTGGTCACGAAATTGGCTCCGCAGCCCGTGGCTCTTGTACTAGAGTTCGGCTGCTTTGTTGGATACTCATGCACGAGGATGGCCTACCAGTTGGTTCGTGGCAAAGTAGTGTCTATCGAGGTGGACCCCATTCACGCATGCATTGCAAGAAATGTGGTTGAGTTTGCAGGTGTTGCAGACCGGGTTTCCATTTGTATCGGGTACAGCGAAGATGTTATCCCGCATTTGAAAGACACATGTGGTGGTGCGGCCGCAGACGCGGTTTTTTTCGATCAACGTGGTACGAGGTTCCACACGGATTTGCAGATGCTTGAAGCCGAATCATTGCTGAAAGACAAGTGTGTCATTTGTGCTGACAATGTCTTAAAGCCCGGCGCTCCCCACTTCCTGTGGTATTTGCAGAACAGCCCGATGTACGACTTGACTGTTGTTTCGTTACGAGAGTTTGCTGCTGATCGCATCGAGGATTGGATGGCAATCGGAAGGTTCAGTCCCGAGCAAGTCTCAACAGCTGCGGCACCTTTTTTCCCTCCCTCCTTGGACTGGGTGGCGTTTCTGACAGACAAGGCAAGGGCAAGGAGTTGCAATGCCGATGGGCCCTGCGAAATTGATGAGGCAGCCTGGGCACGTCACTCCCAGGCGATCCGTCAGGCATACGAGGATGTGGGAATCAAGCCTCACATCGTCTATGTTCGTTCGAAAGGTGGCTGTGCTTTTGTAGACTGGTAGGACAGGCTTGCGATAGACTCATGGCAGATAGATGCCGGGAGGTATGGGAGGAAAAAGAAACGAAGTGAGTTCCTGCACTGTGCAGTGTTGCTTTCTGCGAGTGCGAAGACTTGTTCAGGCACGGCTGTGTCTACCTGTCAGGCTGTGGGGCAAGAGATGCCTGCTTCCGAGGAGGCCAGCGCCCACCGTGCCTGAGATGTTCGCAGATGGAGTTTGTGACAGGTCGCAGGGGAGACTGCTTCGGAGGAGACTGTTGCTGCAGCGCGTGGAAGTGCAGTTTTTGCAGCTCGTTCGCTGCTGGTCTCGCTGGCGCATGTTCTGGCGGTGAGAAGGCTTCCTTCCAGCTTGCTTCTGCGTGCTTCGGGCCTTCGGAGCCAGGAAAAAGATGGGAAGCCCACGCGACCGATGAGCCGGGGACCTTCTCTGCGAGCTTTGGTGCAAGCCTTGGCTTTGCCCCAAGGCTCACCGGCCTTGCTGGCTCAGCCGAGAGAGCCGCGGGTCGTCGCCATCAGGCCCGAAGCTACCGAGGATCACAGTTCTGACCCCGAGTGGTCTCGTGATTCGGTGATTTCGCGAGGCCGCGACAGATCAAGTCAGCGTCGATGGCGAGGCAAAGTATGCCTGGCCGGAGCAGGCCGGATCGAAGTTGGAAGTCTTGGTGAAGCGTGCAACGTTGCATCGGCGTGGCTCCGATTGAAATTCGCCGTTGACGATGCCGCTTGCTATCCACTGACGTCTTCTCGTCCACCTTGTTTCCTGCACCTCAGGCCCGCGAGTGGCATGAGCAGGAGTCGCAAGGCTGGTGGATGGGAAAAGTCGGCGACCTGGCGCTCCGTGCTGGCGGGTCCAAGGTCCAAGCATGTCCTTTCGCGCTGCGAAAGGTCTGACATCGGCAATTCTCAAGCAGAGCTCTGGCTGATCAAGCAGCGCACTTTAGCTGGGTCGACGTCTCAGACTTGTACCAACGTCCTTGGACTTGTCGGCCGAACCCGAGCAAGGATGCTGTGGCCTCCTATGTCGGAAGCTGCAAGAGACCCGGATAAACCACATGAGTCGCATGAGGCGTGAAGAGGTTCGAGAGAAAAATCCTGTTACTGTCAGGCCAGGGGAAGACGACCTGGAGCAGGCAATGTGTCACGGAATGGCAGGGTTGAGCACCGGCAACACGAAGTGTCCTTTGGATGTGCTCGACCCTTGACGAAAGCAATTTCTGACCAGCAAGGCCCGGAGGGATCGGGATCATCGTCTTCTAGCCAAGCTTGTGAGGGTTTATGTATGCCTTGAAGCCTCTGATGTTCCTAGCATCTTACAGACATGTGGCCACTGCGTGCAGGCTGTGGCTGCAAGCCACAAGAAGATCTGGCCCCAGCGATTTTATCCCCTTGGCAGCCACTCTGAAAGGATCTGGCGCCAAGGTCCAGCCCCTGGCACTGAAGTTCGCCATGGCCAAGGCCTGAGAACTATCTCAAAAGCATCCTTGCAGCCTCTTGCGCGCACTGTGCATGCACCGGAGAGTTCGAGACGCATCTTCTTTTACTTGTGTGCGACTTGGGTCCGTAGCTTCGCTGTTCACTCACGGAGCTCTGCCAAATGTAGGTCCCTGAAGCGTATCATCTGACAGATGACAGGATCTTATTAAGGAAGGCCTTTTGGGTGAACATGTGGTACCGAGAGGAGCTCAACACATCCGCGTTGAGAGTATTTCGGACTATCTGCTACAGCAAGCCAGTAAGCACTGAAAATCCCAAGCTGCGCAGTTGCCCTGCTCGAGGCAGAGGCTGAAATTCTCCACGAAGGTGAAGCATCCTGAGGGGTTCGGGGAAGACTCACGCGGCTAGACGCAGCTAGATTCACAATGACGGTACTTAGAGTAGCAGCCATCACAGTCTAAGGCACGGGTTTAGCGGATTCGACGTAGAGCAACTCGATCGCAGGCGATGTACGATATGGAGAATGCAAGAGGCATTAGCAAGGACAACTATGCACCTAATTCGCTCCGCACGTGACACCCCAAGGGTGCGCGTGCATGCAGCACATGCCCCAAGGCAAATCAAGGCAACTCATCATGGTAGCTGCCTGCGCATGCTGCACAGGTAGGCTGAAACTGGCCTGCAGCATGCACCGGTCCTGAACCATGTAGGACTGACTTGGCACTCGAAGCATTTTTGCGGTTGTCCGGCTCTCGAGCGCAGTTCATCAGAGTAGATTGGAAGAGCACGCGAGTTTGTGCTTTGAGACGGCTTCGAGGGCTACTGCGTGGCTAGAGAATTCGTACTCTGACGTTGGTAGTTAGGTTCAAGCTCAGAGGATCTCGGAGGCTTGAAAGCTATCTTTCGAGAATATGCAGGATTAAGGGATTATCATTCAAGCCTCGACGAGGATGAATGGTGACCACCGTGGAAAAAAGAGATTGAAGGGACGAAGGGGATAGAAGGCGGTTTCAGAACAATCTCATGGTCCTTTCTGAGAATTACACGTGACCCCATGTCATGTGAATGGGATTTATCGGTCAATCAATCCCAACAGTCAAGGGGATCCTTGTGCTGGGATACATTTAAAACTTCGTTGATTACCGGCAATCTCTATGGCTGCAATGATTGCCGCGCAGTCCCCGTGTGCGGTTGGGTCTGGGAGAAGGCCCGAATTATAATGGGAGGTGTAGATAGAATAATACCAATAATAACTCTCTTCGGCCCTACTCTTCCGAGATTAATTTTTTTATAATTGGAATCTCTGTTTTCTATTTAGAAGATTTTTATTTTATAAAAATCGATTTTTAAAACCTTTATTTTATAATCTGACTCTATTATTGCTTTGATTTCATTTATATATTCATATAATTGAATTCTATTTATAATTTCATATATTTATATTTTGTTATTTTTATATTTGTTTTTTGGATTATATAATAAGATTCTTTTACAAAAAAGGAAAAAATCTAAACTAAAAATTTAATGAGAAATATAGATTATAGATATTCTAATAAAAATAAAAAAAATGATTATATGAATTGAATAAAATACGAAAAAGACTTTATAAGAAAATCTTTGGAATTGAATTAGAATTATTGCAAGATTATATGAATATTTTTTTTAAGAAAAAGGATAAAAAAATTATATTTTTCTTGTATTTTTTATTTAATTTAGGAAAAAAATATTTTGATATATTTAATGTTAGTTTTAAATCTTCGCGTCGTACTCTCCCCCCTCCATATATCCGAGCTCATGAATATAAAATTTAAACAAAATCTCTTATTATTATATGAATTTTCACATATACTAAATTTACTTCTTAGTTTTCTACATTAATTAAGTCTAATTGAATATGCAATTAAAATAATATTTCTTTTAAATTTACTGCTGATTTTATTTTTTCATAAATAATTCGTATTAAAAAAAAAAGAATAATAATTATTATTATAATTAATCGTAATTCTGGAGAAACAAATATCTCTTTAACCTATGCTTTAAATTTTATTTATTTCATATTTATTTCATTATATTTTTTATTTTATTTTCAAACAGCTCTAAAATAAATAGATTTTTCTAGAGATACACACTTTCGGGCCCCGCCTCATTTCTAAGAGAAAAATATTGGTTAGCTCGATCATACCATCAAAGATTATAATATAATTAAGTATTAAATAAATATACTAATATAGACTAATATAATAATCTTCTATACAAAATCTATAAAAGATCTAGACAAGAATATATTAAAAATATTAAAATTCTTCATATCTCAAAACTAGGCCAGTAACGTCAAACGACAAAGTTATCGTTAATTCACTAACGCGAAATATTATTTATATAACATACCAAATAACAAAATATTCCAATGTAATATACGAATATTATCTTTATTTTTCTAACGCCAAATTATTATTAACCTAACGCCTCAAAAATAATTCACTTACACAACCTCGAGTCCCACCTCATACCAAAGACTAAAAATTATGTTCCACAAATAGTTATGCCTTCTTATACAAAATTCTTAACCGCTCTTTTAAGCAACTTCCCATATATTTATACATATTTCTTAATTATTTCATTATCAAGATCTGGCCAAATTCAATATATGAATTCAATCGTCAATAACATTAATACGATCACGGGTCCCAAGAACGCCGAAATAATCGGCTTTTTCCTTTTCGGCTTCATCTAATGTCATGAATAATTTCTAACGAATCATTAAAGCGTATTAAAGCGCGTACGACCGTCAGAAAAATCTTTAAATGACAATTAACTGACGCGCTTGCCTACTAAGACAATATATTCTATATATATATTTAATTTTCTCTATTCGTCACAGAACCTCTAAATGGGGGTTTTTCTAAATACAAGGGCCCGAATATAGTACCACAAATAGTAGGAACCTCAAATTAGATACCCTTGTTTTCGGAAAGCCTCTAAATCAAGATGACTACAGCACAATGCCAGACTCGCTTCGGCACTTTTTTCGTCGCATAGCTTCTCAGGTGCGGTGAGGATCTTCTACGAAGGAGCCGGAGTTCAAGATTAGCTAAAATCTAATGTATTGCTTCCTAAACCTCCAAATACATCCCGAACCTGCGGTCTCTATATTTTTCAATATTCTTGACATATTGTACGTACTATGCATTCTCTTAATATCAAATAATGTAGAAGTTCCATGGGTGCAGCTCTATTGTGCCCTCGGAGCTAGCAGACTGATGCCCATATTTCAGGGTTTGATATACATACTTGTAAGATGTGTACATTTTCATCTTACCTGGATCCCTGTTGGGGCCATATTAAAAATGATCATGTTTAATCCTTATTCGGGTTTTATTGTAACAAAAATGTAAAATTGTATCCAACAAGGACCCAGCTACTTTCGAAATTAGCGACCTAATCCCAAGCTAGCACAGGGCTGACGGTTGTCTCCAAGACCATTACCACCCGTGAGACGATGCGAGGGTCGATCTTTCCGGCACTTCGGGCACAAGGCGGAGCCTGTCAGACTGGAGGAAGGGAAGGGTGCTGCTTAACAACGAATCTTGCCGACAACGAGCAAGCCTTCCGCCAACCGCTTCTGCGGGTCCTCCGCAGGAATCCTCGTGATCATTCGGATAAGGGAAATCGGAAAGCGATTGTTTCAAGTGCAGCAGCCAGTGCAAGTGTCCAAGGCTGCAGCATGAAGAGCACCTCACAACTGGCGCCATGCAAACGACTACATGCAGCCCTTCGACAATGATGTGCCATGCCTGGAGTCTGGTAACGTGGCAATTCTGTCAGAACCGCTTTGGCCTCCAGACCTCGGACAAAAAATGCACGAGTTTATAGTTCCTGTTTCAAGCACTTCGAGGCTCTGGCCCATGCTCTCCAAGCGACCCTGCAACATCTGATTGTGTTTCAGCTGCTGATGGTACTTCTCCTTCGAGAGCAACGCGCAGAGTCTTCACCGCAAGCTTCCCTTCAGCCGAGCAGCAAAGCAACAAAAAAACCCTAAACCCCTGAACCCCTAAACCCCCAAACCCTAATGGCAGCATTCCATTGGGAGCCTGGGCAGACGCAACATCGGCCTCGGGCTGTCAGGTTTTGCCCAAGCAGGTTGAGAGGCTATCGCATCTTTGCGGACTGCACCAGCTCATGCAGGCCTGATCGACCTGAACTCTGGAAACCCTAGACCCTATAAACCCTATAACCCTACAGGATTTAAGGTCTATGGTTGAGGGTTCCTAAACCCTAAACCCTAAACCCCAAGCTAATCTCTCCAGGGACATGGCCGCAAGAACTGACGAGTTCGACACCACAGGCAGCAGCAGCGGAGCTGAGAGCGTGTCTTGCATTTGCTCCAAGACGTTGAGCGCGTCAGCCTTCCACCTGCCATGGAGACTTTTTGCAGGGTATAAAGTCCTATTTTTGAAGGCTATTTTCAAAGCTACTCTTTCCAGCAAGACTAGGCAAACAAAGCAAACAATGGACAAACCAGACCCTAAAGATGAGTTAATGAAGGGGCTGCAGCCACGCTTTCGCCCCCTCGCTCACCCACTAGGCGTTGTTGTTTTTTTGTAAGAGTGAATTATGCAAGGACGTGCGACAGAATTAGGAGCCAAATGCCTCGTTGCTTTAATGCCTGTATGCTGGCTGAGCGGGCTGTACTTGGTCATACCTGCCTCTGCAGCAGCTCCAATTCTTGCTGCATCTGGAAAGCAGATGAAGCCCATCCGTCCCTCAACGAAGCTGGCATGAGAATTTGAGGACACTGCTATGGTGTGCAGAACCTTATGAGAGGCCGACGGCTCTTGAGAACTCTTGGTCGTTGGCACCTGTTCAGAATGAGATGTCGTCCTTTCAATGCAAGCTTTAATGGTCATTCGCCTCGGCTCGCTCCCCTCGCCGGCTGCCGGCACTCTTTGCGCGGCGCACCTCTACCGCAATGACCAGCATCGCAATTCGAGCTTCTTGCCCAGCTAACTCCAACAAGAAAGCATATCCTGGCAACACAGTGTCAGATAAACTTGATAAACTAAACCTGTCGCAACCCGGCATTCCATCACAAGCATTGCTGCACAAGAACTGAAGCAAGTGTGCAGCTGTGGTGAGGACGATGATTTGGCAAAATGCGTGGAAGTTTCAAGGCGATCTGCGTTAAAGGTCATATCACAGCCGCATGTTCTCCATTTTCTCAGAGCTCTACATGTCATGTTGACGATCGCCGAACTTGCGTAGGTCGACGACCGGCTTTTGACAAGGGCACCCGTAATGTAGCTTGCTGGAACAACCGTACTTCAAATCACGTCGGACGCCCGAGATGCAGGACCCTGCTGCAATTGGAAACTGAGCGCTGTAGATTCCAAGCTCCAGGCAGGCTTGCGCACAGAGGTTCCTGCGCTTCACCGCACAATCAGCACTTTCCAAGGAAGCAAGGCAGGGCAAACGACCTTGCAGAAGAACTAACAAGGAAAACGCGCCATGCCCTCAGAAGTTAAAGGAAGGGCGACGCAAGTTGGAACCAGGCGGGAAGAGACAGAGGGAGAGAGAGAGAGAGAGAGAAAGAGTTTGAGCTAGACTACGGACGCCATGCTTCTGTCCCTGTCCTTGTATGTTGACATCAATATATACCAGGCCACTATCTCGTGCTCAAGGTGAAGGCCTAATACTTATATTGTCAAAGTAGGTCAGAAGTACAACATTCGGCTTTACGGCGAAGTGTAAAGCAAACACGAGGTGGGGGTAGCATGGCACGAACTCGCCATCAACAGAGCACGCTCAGAATGAAATACTTTCGTGGAGATGAGCGGCAACTCAGTATGTTTCGTTCATACCCTGCTTCCCGAGTAGTGACTCGCAGCCCGTACTGAACCCATGCCTCTCGCTTTAACTGGCTTCTGCCACCCAAATCACACCAGGTTGACAAGCTGTTCTTTAAGCCACGGCCAGAGGTTGGTCCAGATATCTCCAAAAACCGCACCAACTTCCATGTGGTCATCCCAAACCGATCTATTCAATTAAACTTATAGGGAGGGCAGTTGAGATGAAGTGTGCCAGACACCTCTCTTTCAAGCCTTCAAGTAACTCATTCCCCTCAACCTCTGCCCTTTGCATGCGAGGCAAGTCTCCTGATTCGCGGACTGATGCGAGCTCACGAGCCTTAGTCAACAAAACCATGCTCAAGATTGCGCAAGGGTGCCATGAACGGGAGCCACTGCTAGGATTCCGCCCTTTCGGCCTCATAACCATGTGGCCGTTCTCTTTTTGATTCTGCTATTTGCGCGGGACGTCCGAATGTGAACTGATATTCGGGCACAAGGCCGCCACGCAAGGACGGTGTGCCCTTTGCCCTTTGCTGTCTGATGCACAAGCAAGGCGAACTGCCAAGTTGGCAGTGGGTGTAACATGGTGTAACTGCGACCATGAACTACGGTGCAACAGACACATCCAAACCGAGGATACATATGCTCCACCGCTTGTGCGCGATTCTCAGAAGCGCCAGGCACTAGAGATGACGGCTTCGACACGGACTGTCGCCTGCATTTCCTGATATGTGAACGAGTCACATCAGGATGAGGCAGGTGCGTCTCAAAATAGGACCATGCACGCAAGGGCGGACAGCTGAAAGGTCACAACTCCTTCCGCAGCAAGCCCGTTGCTTCCAATTGCATCTCCACAGGCGTTTTTTGAAGCCGCCTCTCATGCGGCTGGAGGCTTTCGGCGGGCAATGGTCGGGCCCAGGTCGATGCTTAGATCCTGAGCGCTCTGACGGCATGTGTGCCGCAATATAGTGCTCGCCACGCTACCCGGCTAACCAGCGCCTTCAGGGTTTAGGGGCCGTGCTCCGTGCTGCTGCTGAGTATTCAACCAGTGAACCAGGTAATTGAAAACACGAGTCGGCTGCCTAGAGTCTCACAGGACACACTCTAACAAAACGCCCAAACTGTTGGGAAACACTACTGCCTCACAACGGACACTCCCGACAGGCTTCCACGTGGAATTCGTCACATGGCTTGTAGTCGCTGCAGCCCTCTCGGACGGGGCCCTTTCCTTTGGCATTGGCGATGAGGTCCTGCTAACCGTGGAGCGAAGATCTAGGCACGTGCCAAAGATCGACGCTGGATATTGATGCTTTTTGAAGACAACTTCAACAACAGCAACAACAACAGCGGCAGCAGCACTACTAGAGCCACTACGACAGCAACTAATTGGGCTTCCGCCTAACAGCACGACGACAACGACGACGACGACGGCGACGACGACTACTGCTACGACTCCTGCCACTACTGCTATTATTATTATTATTATAATACTACTACTACTACTACTACTCCTACTCCTACTACTCCTACTCCTGCTCCTACTCCTGCTCCTACTCCTACTCCTGCTCCTACTCCTACTGCTCTCCACTACTACTACTAC